TCGATCGCTCCCCTTTTCGAATAGGGTCAGTATTTTTTCACGTGTATCACTTATTTCATTATTTAAGGTGCTTTTCACTGTGATAGCAGTTGTACAGCAATGGCTATCGATCTTCCATTTGTATTTATTGGCGATCATGGTGGTAACGTCGTTGTGTTGAGGCTTAGCGGCGATACAGCTCAGATGGTCAGCAAATTGAGCGCACATACAGGTGAATATGGCTGGGACTTTTTCTGCCATCCCACATTATTACTAAACTGTCGTGACTTCCCGAATAGAGGATTTCCTTCACTCGATTCCAGGCCAAGGAAGAGATTGGACCTGAAAAACTAACTGGATCTACAAAACTCACAGATAACGGTCGCCATTTCTCTTTTATATTCCCCTGAAGATGGAGGGACGTCATCAAGAAGGACCTCATTGAAGTGAAAGCCACGGCAGAAGATGCAGTGGATCGGAACAAGTGGCGACGTCTAACAAGAACAGCGGACCCTGCGACGGCGCGGGACTAACGCTAGGGAGGAGAAGAAGATTTCACTTTTACATTCCGGGACAAATCTTTTCTTATAGAAAAAACAGTACTGGGTTCAATATCCTGAAGGTTTCACTATATTTCTAAAAACATTCGTTGAAATTTTCCGAACCACAGAGACGCTAAAAAGTGATCACTTGGCGGAAAAACCCAGATATTCACCTGTATGTGCGCTCAATTTGCTGACCATCTGAGCTGTATCGCCGCTAAGCCTCAACACAACGACGTTACCACCATGATCGCCAATAAATACAAATGGAAGATCGATAGCCATTGCTGTACAACTGCTATCACAGTGAAAAGCACCTTAAATAATGAAATAAGTGATACACGTGAAAAAATACTGACCCTATTCGAAAAGGGGAGCGATCGAAAGGCAATGGAAGAAGTATTAATTAATAAAAAAATATAAATTAATGTAAATTGTAGCTAAACAAACCTCGCTTTATGCCCGTTTCTGAACAATGCCAAACAACAGATTTGTCCTTTGAACAGCTGAACACAAGTTCGGCACTCAGCGCCAACCCTAGCCCAGAAATAGGTCCAGCATGTATTGACCACCTGTGGAACAAAACACTTCAATTCAAATACAAAATCTAGCACTCGACTTGAAACTTAATCGGATGGTAACAGTAATAAATGCAACGATAAGAAGAAAGATGTGACTGGCAGGACAGGATTTAGCCATACATGTGCTTTTCATACGCACAATATTTCCTTGCAACTATTGCACGTTGCAGGGACGAATGGAGCTCGAGGAACTCGATGATCAACGGGAGCACAGGTGATACAGGTGAATATTTCCTTGATTACATGGGTGTTTTTAGCTTCGCGCGTACGCAAAAAAATACAAAAATGCATAAGCCCTCCTTGAGTGCTTTCCCACGCCGTCCATTTCTAAACGTTGAAGGATCCTAATGATCGACAGAATGGAGTGAGAAGCTGCTCAGTTTGATAACTGCTGTTTAGGGCGGCAGTGCTCGCTCCGAAAGTTATCACAAGAATGCTGAGATATTGGCAAAAGTCGGACCCGGGACGGGACTCGAGCATCTCCCGCTTACCGGGCGGTTGCGTTATCCATTACGCTACCGGGGCCTCCTTGCCTTCTCAGCTCAATGGCATTTTGTGCCATAGCCTTACAGGCAACGTGTGAGTGTGCATGTAAGGCTACACGAAAAGTCCATTGTGTGCTGACGAAGTGCAGAGTGGCCTCCGGGTGCGTAATGGATAACGCACGCCCGCGAAGGCGGAAGATAGTTCGGAGTTCGGCCAGGGTCGCAGCGTTCCGAGTTCCGCCAGGTGCCAGCTTTGTGCAAATCCTAGCGAGTCACGGGAAGTGAAAGCGTTTCCGCCAAATAACAATAGCAATATGTAGGTAGCTGGAGTGTAAGCGCTGCGAGGACAGCGGTCACAGGTTGGGCGGTCCCAGCGAGCGAGCTGCGTAGTGTGTCGCTTAAGTTGGGGAGGTAATCACATTTTGCCCTTGAAAGAGATGTTTTTTGCTGTCTTCTCATTCTATGTACGATGAATACCCCCCCCCCTCGTCCCCCTCCCCTTGCTCGAGATTGGCAATTTAATAGGGAGGGGGGGGGGACGGGAGAATAGAAAAAATGGCAAATAAAGGAAGTCGAAAGATCTAGGAGAATATGCTAATAGGAATGTACGGAAATGGGAATTGGAAGAGGGTCGTTTTTTGCAAGTTTATCCCCAAAAGACAGGAAGCGCCCATATGCTGCACTAAAGAGCGGGTCCCAGCAACTGACCCCTCATAAGAAAAAAAAAACAAAATTTATTGGCACTAACTGCAGAATGATCCAAATTTTAATGCTCATAACTAATAAAAAAAGGAGAAAAATAAGGAGGAAAACAAAATCACCTGCGCACTTCAGGATCACTCATGGAATTGTAGTCGTCAGCAACAAAGAACTCGTACACGTGACCATTTAAAAGTCCCACTAGTAATCTGAAGGATAAAGTCAACAAGTGCTGAATTATACAATGAATAACAACAGCTTCAAAATAGTTCAAAACATAGCAGTCGCCCAACCTTGAAGTCTCTTCGCTGTAGTGGAGACACGTCGGTGCTACTGGCATAATTTTGTGAATGGAAGGCCAAAACTGTCCGTTATCCCTCTTTAAATACAATCTGACGGATCGGTCATCGCTGGCTGTCCATACGCCTTCCTCTTTTGAAAGAAGAACCACATCGTTTATACGAGCAACATGGCCTTCGATTTTGTGCAGCAAAGCTAAAAAGCATCCTACAAAATTGAAAAACTTCAAAACTCCAGTGATGAAAATATACATTGAATGATCTCCCACCATTTATACTCTAGGCATAAATATCGTTCAAAACAAAAAAAAACGCAAAAACTGGAAAAAACGTAAAATTCTGGAAACGGTACATTAAGCTTCCACTAAAAGTCGAAGAAGGAAAGAAACCAGTAAAAAAAACATATTCACGATAACCAACTTGGTCTAGCATCGTCGCCTATGCTGTTGGCGTTTCCAGCTGACGAAGGCCTTGAGTTGATAACTGCAGACATTTACTGTAAAAGAAAAGGTATTCGCTGATAAACACAACACACACAAACGCAAACACTGGTTGTTGAAGAGGGGTATGTGACAAGAGAATCGCAATTCACCGCGCTGGCAGACGTCGCGTCCGCAAATGACGATGGTTCCTTGTAGCAGATAGCGACAACAGGCAAGAACCAAAAATAGCCATGAATGTCTACGATGACGAGGTCTACATAAAGTCCGGTGTCAATCGACAGGTTAACACGAGTTAAGAAAACGCCGCGCCCATCGCCGCGCGCGGCGAAGCGGCAAAATGCGATTCTCTTGCCGTCTCCCGTTGAAGAGGGTAAGCGAAAGCGTTGATGGGAAACAAATAATAAACGATATGTTAATGTATTTTCGCTTGCTGGCATCAACAACTATTGGGAAAGAAGTTTGGCGCCGCGCCAAACCATCCAGCCACGCCTCAGCATCCGCAGCGAATGAAACTGTACAGCCGCCCCTTCTCCCCTAGAGATCCTAAAGTATCTCAACGTTTGAGAGAATCACTATTCCTTTGAAGGTTTCTAGGTACAACAGTTATGGCTTAACATTTGCCGCCAGAAACCAGCGAATTCGAAGAATTCGTTATACAAAGGTCGATCATGGGCGAGCATCGCATCGCTTGTTTGACTGACGTATTGACGAACGGTACAACATAACTAACAGAAAAATTGAAATGCAGTCACTACAAAAGTCCTCTTCTCAAAGTCTTAGGTCGGCCCATGTACAAGTCAGTGTTCTTATCCTCCCGAACGACTCCGATATCAATTTGTCGTCCCTGGAGGTGGAAGGCATAGGTGGCCTGGGCGGGAGTCGATCCAGCTTCATTCCGCAACTCGCGCGATAAACGTGCCACTACACAATCTCCGCCCCACTGCAAGAGGAATGCGAAGAAAATCTCTATTTTGTTATATAGTAGCCTCGGGGGATTTATTTGGCTCAACCATATAGGCCCTGCCCAGCGTTAGTTCCATCGGCCATTTGAGGCTCTTTAGTACTTTATTTGTGTTAACCGCACGCGTGCGTATCTGCAACAAAACTAATGAATTAGAATTCGGTGTCCCTTGAAAGGGCCTCACGTGAACATTAACACCCATTTTCAACTTAAATACGAAGCTTCCTCAAAGTGTTCTTTGAGTTTCTATTACAAAGATGTGGTTTTCTATACATTTCAATTTCTCCTATGTGGACTTCTTACCAGGAGATTCAGACTTGCCAAAAGTCAACTGTGCGTCCCCACATGCAGCTCAACACGTCGGGACCCGCTAGAGCACAACATAGTGTGTTCATACATTTTTCTCTCGGCGCCATTTCATACGGTTTATTAGGCATCTTATTCATGTTCGAAAGATATCAGAACATGTTTTTAGGCATAGAAAACAAATATCTCATAAGAAAAGCCGAAAAGAGGTATGAATATTGCTGATTGTCGATCTAAAAATTAACAAATTATCTCGCACAACGGCGGTTCAGAGTGTGTTGAAGCGCGGCGCCCCATTGCCCTTCTGCGCTAATTTCCAGGTTTGAGAGGCATTTTTCGATTATCATTATTACGATCAATTGAAATCGGGTTTTAAATCTGTTTAGTCAATTTGGTGTCGCGATGGTACAGGCGATAATAGACTGTTATAATTATCCCAACTATCGAACGTTTCTTTGGCCAGTAGAATAACCCCTTTCGATCAATCTGCTAAAACGAAATGTGTACACAAGAAAAACAATAACACAGCACAGACAAGATCAATCCATATTACACATCGTCATGTGCACGTTCACACGTATAAAAGATGCCGTAACGGTTAATCACCGTAGAACGAGAAATTCGATATCCAACCACTGCATATGCAGGAGCCTAACGTTTACCTTACCAGTTTTTGCCAAACTATTACTATAAATTTAGATGTTTCGCCTGACCGGCGACACTACTTGGTTTTTAGATGAGAAGAAATAAGATAAAATTTTTCGGAGAATAGGCATCCTACTCCGTGGGAAGACATTTGACCGACACATTAATTCGAAAAAGCAACACGAACTCCCTGTGAGCAGGGGGGGCGTAGGCCAATCACTCTGGAATACAAAATTTATGGGATTCAATCTGTGTCCATTCAGGCATCCGCCGATATGCGCTAATCCATCGGAAAATCGATTAGTCACTCGATCCGCGAGTTCCCCTAATCACCACTACAAAAATTCACTAATTGATTAACTGCGTGAAAGTTTTCAAGAATATCGTGCTATGCACTAACCGCCCAAAATCCACCGACTGTCAGAGTGGGGGAGAGCTTGTGATATAGCATTATGCTAGTTCTGTTTTTTTTTTTACGTTTCTGTTACCATGGTAGACTGTCAGCTTTAGTAGCTACGAATGCGGCAAGGTTTCGCGGGATCAGCCGAAACAGACCATTCGAAATTTTTCCTGTAAACTTTATGAAATAGGCATAACAGCTTCACAAAAGTTTCCAATTAAGTTGCTCTGTTCAGTGGAGTTGGACACTGACACCCCCCCCCCCCCCCCCTTTTCACAACTTCAAACACGAATTTTTTTACAGACCCATCATCGATAGGAATCAGTAAAGGAGCTTGGGGGGGGGGGAACACTCACCGTGCCTCGTCATCCCTTCACAAAAACCCCCCGCCTTATTAATCGCCAAAAAGCCAATTTCGCCACTGCACCGACCTCCCGCTTAAGGAATTTTCTTTAGGAAATTGCGCTTTTTCCTCATGTCCCACCATCCTACCTACAACCATCTTCCTAAGTTTTCCCAACTTCCTACCACTGTCCATAGGTTTTCCAAATGGTCCCATTTTTCTAAAAAACTGCCGCCGGAAGTCAACAGCCGAAAAAGTTTTTTCTGAAGGGAAATACGACCGCCTCCCTCCAAAGACCTGATGCGACCCCCACTCCCCCGCCCCCACTTTTTCCCCCGCACGGAATCCCCCACGTACGACTTGCCCTGAGTTTCGCAGGGAAGACATAGAGTCCACTGACCCCGTCTTGACTAAGGGAAGATACCGAGGCGCTTGCTAGTGGTCCCTGCCCTCCCCAGCCAAACAGGTTAGCGCCAGATGCTCTACTCTAAGCCGAACGGATAGGTGACAAGACAATCGTAATTTGCCGCGCAGGTGGGCGTCGCGTGCGACGTTGCGCCCTTGATTGACCATAATTCCAGTTCCTAAGTGGCCACAATAAACAATTTATAACCAGAAACATCCATAAATGTCAGCAATTCCGCAGTCCTTATTGAATGGTGCACCAACAGACGCTGATGCAAATTAATGAAAAGCTGCGTGCACCTCCGCGCGCGACTGAGCGAAGTTACGGTTGACTTGGCCAGCAGCAGCACCCTCTCTAGGGCAGCGTTCAGACTTCGCGACGGCAGCGCTTCGGTCGCGCGTTCGACGCGATCGATGCAGTCGAAAGCATGCGCATCGATCGCGTCGAACGCGCGACCGAAGCGCTGCCGTCGCGAATTCTGAACGCGCTCTAACAGTGCTCGGCATGCGGTTCAAGGTGTATTTACTTCAAAGCTCATTTTTGCATGGACCCCAGAAGGATATGAAGCAAATCTTTCTACGGTTGAACTCAAGAATGTCAGCTGAACAATAACCACAGATTTGAAGATGAATCTATCAAAAACCACCTATTAAGTCCTGAATAAAATGTATAAAAATGAATGTATAAAAACCCACCTGAAAAATCTGTTAAAAGGCAATGAAACCGTATTTCCAGAAGCAGCGAAAGCTGCGAATGCCAGTCAGCAATGCAGCAGGAATCGCGACAGTTTGAAGAGCTTGTCGGAGGACTCCTTAATTCAAGGAATTTTGCATTCTTTCACGATCATATCATTTACAGCCCGAAAAGCGACTCCGCAAAGTGTTACGTGACATCGATCGTTCATGGAACAGTGATCTTGAAAACGATGTCCAAGAATTGGAATCAAAAACTAGAATATAGTGAGTTGAGATATCCATAAATAACATCAGCGCCTCCTGTACGCCCTAACGATTGTCATACTCCTAAACGTAAAACAGTGAGCGGTAATGGGAACAGTAATCCACAATATCCACGGGGACCATCACTCCCAAAACTAATCTCCTATATCTCTAGTTGATTCTTAAGCTAACCAGTTTTCGACAAATAGGAAACTTCTAAACAATTACCCGCAAGTAGAATTTGTCTGAAATGCTATATTAATCGCTCTCTCTATTCCCCTCTCTCATCTTGATATTGAAAAACAATGGGTAGCGCATGCGTATCGCGGGCGCGTCGTGATCGCCACTACAACATGAATGAAGTTTGGATTATAGCCTTTCAAGAAACTATCTCTATTTTAGGCGTTTCCTCTCTATCTATTGCTTACAGAGTCTATATTATCACTATTCGTATCGGAGGCATATTATGGTCTTATTACTATCTATATCTAGTGTTGTTTTTAAGCAGGGTACATCGTTGTTGGGAATCGCTAACAACGATATACCACTTTTTTGGGCTTTGGTACGACTTCCCAACCAATGATGCGCCCTGTCGCGAAGACGTCGCGCTTGCCCTTTCAATGGAAGCGGTGTCTCCCATCTTTCTAAGGTGTACAGTATGTATGCGAGAAGAGACTGTAACAAAAGAAACAAATGGGTTTGTGGGTGTGTGTTTGTGTCCAATGGACCTTAAGTTCACGATACATTGCAAAGTCACAGATATTGACTTCGGAAGAAACTTTTGAACTGAAGATTTAAGCCTCCAAAGCACGGCTCAGGGCGTGCAAAATTCAGTTGCTGAGAAACGAGCGTGGCAGTTGGCACGATAAATCTCCAAGATGAGTAGGATTAACTGACAGGGCGGAATTGTGTGCCCCTGAGGAGGCGCTGTGCAGCGCTATGACGCCTTATCAATATGCAACATACCGACCCGGATTCCCACCGCCTACAAATGGACGACCATACCTGATGCTCGTAGCGCGAAGTACAATATGAAGCGAAGAGAATGATA